GCATCAGAGGGCTGGGTTAGTGCATCAGAGGGCTGGGTTAAGCATATATACATCACACTACCTAATGCAAGCCCATAACCATATATGATAATACATGAAACACAAGGGATCATGTGCTTCGATTGAGCACGTGACAAGCTGCGGGGGCTTGCCTCCTGAAATTTGAGGCTTTTCCCCAGGTTGTTGCTGGTACTTTCCATGCTAGCTTCCTTGTTAGTGTACGATTGATTTTACTAGTCTGCACTAACAGAAATGCCTAGCATGTGATGGGGTGTTATAATGCAACATTAAAGAAGAGGTAGGAAGATAGATAGATAGATAGATAGATAGATAGATAGATAGATAGATAGATAGATAGATAGATAGAATTAAGAGAAAGTACAGCTTCAGCAATATATACTATGTTTGAATATTGTCAGCTCTGCACTTTGAAAAGTGGCCATTTAACTAGTTTAAAATGAAATAAATATAAGACTGGCAAGTGTTTCATGCCAACCAGAGCTTGAGAAAAAAATAGTGAAACTATATCTCTGTTCTAATTTTTGGAAGCAATCAAATGCATAGTGAAGGCAGACTTTTGGCATACTTTCATGTCTATTATGGTCATTAACATTGTGGCTTTGAAACTAAAGCTGACAGTCTTTCTGAATCTAAAGCTGACTGAATCTTGTAAGTGATTAAAGCTTAATCCCTGATTATTGTTCATTACTGTAAAACTTTGGCACTTTGTATGAATAAGAAAATGTTTTGTAATTGCCAGAACATGGGTGTGGAAGGGGTTGAGAGAGAATCTGGGATATGTGTTTGTAGAAATCCCCCAGACAGCACAGAGCATTAGCTTAAATTAAAGTAATACAAAGTTCCAGGAAAGTAAAAGGGTACATTGTTGTGCCCAAACGTTAGTTTTCTAAAAAAAAATCTAATACCAGCCACACCGGTATCAGTAGTGAATACCAATAGAAAAGAATATATGTAGCTCAGAGTTGAACTGTTGAGTCCTTGGTGTTCTCTGAATGTGGTTGTTTTCTTGCAGACATTTTGTTACCCGACTAGGTAGCATCTTCAGTGCACTGAAGATGTTACCTAGTTGGGTAACAAAACATCTGCAAGAAAACAACCAAGCTCAGAGAACACCAAGGATTCCACAGTGGTAAAGATATGTGGCGGAGACACCATAATTCAACCCTAAGTAAACTTTGTTAATGTTCATAAAGTTCATAATGTTAATGTTCATAATTCTATCTAAATAATTACAATTTCTTGACTATGCAACTACACCTGCATATACTATTTGTCCATAACTATTTAGGGTTTTAGAGAAATTCCAAAAGATATCTGCGCATGCCAGATACTGGCAATTTATTATATAGATCTTTGATCTGTAATGTTTCTGTCTGCAGCCTGCATGAAATGCTATAATATGGCAGGATTTCAGTTATTTATCCAAGCAAGTAGATTATCAAAGCCTGGTTTTGCAAACCTGCTTCAAACCAGTATGTCATATTCTGCTGACCTACCAATTGCAAATGATTTATCCGTCATTCAATTTTTTAAATAACTGTTTTAGCTTGATGACTGGATTAAGTATTGTTTCTATTACATTTTATATTAAGTAAACAAATGTAGACTTGCTTCAGTCTTTGCTCCTTCCTCTTATATATGGAGATTTCCTATTTTTGATCCTTGTTTGTCTCTTGCTAATCCTTTTCTCCAAATCTATAGCATGATCTTTGTCTGCTGGCGATTGTATCCATTCAATATTTCATTGAATGGATGAAATGGCAAATTATGGCTTGTGGCAAATAATGCATGCCTATAGGAAGTTAGAAACATGAAGTGGAAGAAACCTGAAACCATGAGGCTCCTAAGAGGTTAATAGCAATCTATGGCATGAATTTAAATCTTTCTATAATCACATTTATATCTACTATATAGATGCTTAATATTTATTTGTCAGTTTGCCAGAACAGGGTAAAGTGGGTGAAACTGAAAAGGCAACTTTCTGGCTTACTTTTGAATAGTGTCCAAATAGGAACTTCAGATTTAATTTGCTCAGTTAATTGTCATCAACTCTGGCTGTTAGCCCCCAACTCTTATGAGGTCAACCACGGGGAGTACTGATAGTGTGGAGACCATGAGCTTTAGACCAGCGCATTGAAACGTAGAGTAGAATTCAGTGTGGCATGAAAAAAGTCTGCTCACACAGTTGTTTTGCATTTCTCTCCTTATAGCACTTCCTTGCCAATGCTTCTCTGAACAGGGCAGATTTTATAGGCTTTATGAGAAATAGGGATGAGGGAAAGTTGCCCCCCACCAGTTTTGCTGATGGAGAAGTTTCATCAACAAAAATAGTGCCTAGATTCTGTATAAAGATGGCCAGTTTACTACTCAAATACTTATTTTCAGATTGTTAAAAACTGACTCTCAGTATATTTTAAATGGTCTAAGAAAACTTCTGTAAAAAATCAGATATCCGTATCAACATTCAACATAAGTTTGTATTCAGTTTTTGATCCAAAGACTTATTCTAAAAGCTTAACATGTTTATCTAAGTTGCCACAGTTGTTTGATTAAACCATTGGATAATAGAAGTTTGATCCACAAATATAAGGACATCTGTGATATAATGTCAGGCTTTACACAGCAGATCACAACTCTTCAGACAGTTAACCCTGTATCAGAAACTTGCTTCCTAGCAGAAGGCTTAGTGGTACGAGATAGCTAGATTAGTTTCTTTGTTGGAGATAAGAATGAAGACTTATATACACAGAAGATCTGCTTACTGTGCTACATAGCACTCAAAGCTTCAGTCTTGAAAAATGCATTCTACAGTTTGGAATCCATTGGCGCTTCAGGGTTTAAACTCTATAATTTTTCCTCCTGCTTTTCCAAGTGGATACTTGGCTGTTCTCTTCAAAGTCATGGGAGGTATCTAGGCTATGTAAACATAACAGGTCTCTCAGACTTGGAAACTGTTGTAATGGAGCATTGTGTTGTCATCAAAACAGAATGCTATGACAGCATAAAATAGATTCCAAACTGCAGAACACATTTTTCAAGATGACCTGGAAAGACTGCTGTTATGCCTAAATGTTCCCTTATTTGGGATTTTTACATGGATATTCCTTTCTATTCAAACATTTCTAAGGAGTTGAAGCGTTCTCTGCCAGCTGGACTTGGCTTGTCAGAAACCCAGATCACATCTCATGGATTTGACAGTACCAAAGAGGGGACTATTGAAGTTGGACCTTTTCAAGGTAACAGAATTCAATGTTTATTATTGGTAAAAATATGTATAGGATAGAATAGGAAGCATTCTGTAGCCTTCATTTTAAAACTATGATTTCAGCAGTAGAATGTACATGCTGGCAATCATTGGTGACAAACAGTGGTTGAGAATCCAATTGGTATGCACAAAATGGCTCCCTATGTGATGCAGTTACCATATGGAGGATATAATAGATTGCCTTTTGTCTAAAGTAGTCCTAAATTCAAATTCTCATTCACTTCAAGATTTGCTTCAGTTTCACCAATATTTTGTGCATTAAAAATACACTGATTAAATGAAGATGTATGTTCATGGTATATGTCCCATTTCCAGGTCCCTCATCATTTCCCATGCCACCTGTTATATCGCCTAGCAGTGCAGCAGCTAGCAGACTGGCTGGACAAGGGAGTGATTTAGTTATTCCCAAAGGTATTCAGAGGTCTAAGCAGTTAATGATTTTGCTGATACAGTACTAACTCCCACGTTTGCCTACACTTACTTGACTTGTGATTTATTGCTATGGCTAAGTGTAATGCTGCCTTTTTATGCTGCTTTGGCTTGGCAAATAATTACATTTTCCTTTCTGCATACTGTCTTCCTTCAGTATTAAGCATGCTCACATAAGCATTCATTAAAATGAACTGTGGGAAATGTTCATTAGGATGAAATTATGTGTTAAATTTTATTGTCATAATGTTACTAAATAGTGATTGTGTTGAGAAATCCATTGTAATGGAAATATAATTTTAAAATCTATGACCTACATGAGAATTTGTGCAAGTGTTTGTACCTTTATTTATTAAAAGTCATTTGCTTGGTTGCCCTATATTCATTTTGACATTTCAAGTATGATGAAATTCCTATAATGTACTCATGATCAGCATTGCAAAGGAATATCTGAAAATAATTTATTTAAATTTAAAGGTCTTATATTTTACAGTTTAAAAGTTATTAGAATGGTGAACATCTGTTAATTTATATGATTTAAATAGGGCTTAAATGTTAATTACAATTTATACTGCCTTCCAACACTTTATTTACTAACATATTAATCAATAACAGAATGTTTCTGAGCATTTTAAGAAGATCATACTAAAACCATTAAAAATGCATTATAAGATGAATTAAAATAGATTCTATAAGATAAAACTACTGGAAGAGTTACGACTTGTATACTTTAGAAATACTAAAATATTACAGTTTGAAAAGGCTAGGAAAATAAAAAGAATTTCCTGGGGGTGTGCAAACATGTTCTGGAGCCCAAATGTCAACACCAAGGAAATTCCGTATTGTAGGCGCAGGCTTAACTTTATTTCATAAGCATATTTGGAAAAGCATCTTCTAGGTTTTAAGTAAAAGTTGAAGGAAACATTTTTAAACTAATTTGATTCCAAGCAACATTTGGATTAAAGAAGAATACTAGCATTTTAAATTGGATCGGGAAATGGACTAGAAACCAATCCAAATGGCAAAGTAATGATGTATTATTATCACATTGGCAGGTGTCAAGTTAAAAGTAACCCAGGTGTGAGTACTATAGTTAGGTTATCTCTGTCCCTATATCATCCTAAACAAACAAAAGGGCCTACAGACAGCTACCAAGGTAACCTGTGCTTTCTGTGGCTGCTGGATCTAACATTGTCTCCAGATGTCCCTGAATTAGAATCTTCCATATGTTCTGGATTTGTATTTCTCAAAAGGCCCTAATCATTAGAGTAAATAGTCAATGCTGATGGGAATTATAGTCCAAAGCATCTAGAGGCCACCAATTTGGGAAATGCTGCTTTAGATGGAATTCATGCACCCCCAAAACAGGCTATATATCCATTACCTGAACAGATGAATCATCTATTGTCAATCTGGATCATTGGTGTTTTTGTGTCTATTATGCCTAAACACTTTTTCAGAGCACCCAGTGTCTTTCTAATGAGATTAAAAAAGGGAGGTGGCTAGGTTCCCTTCACATATTGATGACATTTCAGCCAGCAGTTTTATGTAGATGTTAAATAACACTGAGGATTAAAATACGCTATTTTGGAATCCACAACATACTGCCAAAAACAGAGCAATAATACCTTAGCAATGCATTGGACTCAGTCATTACATAAGAGTACAGTAGAGCCACTATGTTACTGTATTACAATACCCAAATTTCATTTCACTGTTTGAAGCTTTTTCTGTAAATTTGTAATGATACTGAATTCTAAAATGAAGAAACTTTCTCTACCTACAGTTTGCTATCATTATTTGAATTAAATATAATATTCCCAATTTTACTTGCACTTTTTCACTGACTTCTGTGAATAGCTGGATTACATTGCTATCTTTTGATTTTGAGGATGATGGAAAAAATTAAGGGGTATTAAGCTGTAAAAAAGTAGGAATCTGGTACAGTGGAACACTGTGTGGAAAACTCAGTTATTCTGATATATAGTTATCTTTTAATGTTTTCTAATAGAATAAATCATAGCATAGATTTTCTCTCTTGCATAACAATGTCTTTATAGCAGTCACTGGAGTCACTTTAGAACAGGGATAGGAAATCTCCAGTTTATTGCGATTTACCTTCTCAATTCACACCTGAAAGAGTTGAGCTTTAAAAAGAGGCCTTCCTTTTCTAAAGGCTTTTAAAGTGATAAATTGCTGTTTAGATAAATCTCAGGGGAGATTATACCTGAGGAAGGAGGTGTTAATCTGCAATCCCACCTAAAAATGATGCCTCATTGGCATCAGTGGAAGACTTGAGTGCATGTTGGGAAGGAGCAAGGTTGCTGTATCCACTTGTAGGTTGGCTTTTGCTTCTTTGCCAAAGGTGGGCACACCTGACATGTAACTTGGGATGAAAATGTTCCCCATCCATGTGTATGTCACATATGTCTTACTGAACATAAAAACACTGATAAGGAACAATTGTATCATCTGCAAAAATATGATCAGCAAAACTTGGAGACCTGAACTGAAGTCAAGTACTGGTTCCCAGCATGCATTCCAGAATGTTTTGATAAATGATTACTTCATATGTTGTTGGATTTATATATTATGCTCAACCATTGCTTGTTTTAAGCATGCTCTTTTGAAATGGTAACAGTAGTTGGATTCATACCATACAAAGGCATCAACCGTGATTTACAAATCACTGTGACTGAATTCACACAATACAATAAATCATATTCAAACTAGCCACATTATGTTTAATATATGGTATGAACCAAAGAAATAATTGTACAGTTAGGTATGCTTATTGTATTGAAAGGCATCTATAAAGTATGAACTTTCTTAATTCTTCTTGAAATTGTGAATTGATAAAGAAGAAGGATGGGATTGGAGGTGTCTATTTCATTGAGAGTGTGAAGCAGTAATCAAGTACAAGTTGCACTTCCTATTCTTTATCTTTCCTATGCTTTACTAATGAATGAAATCATTCTCCCTGCTGATATTTTTTATGGGAAAATGTTAAGTACACGAGGTTAGAAGGCACCCAGAATACTTACTGTCAACTTCAGAACTCTGAAATATGAATTGAGTGGGATTGCTGCTAATTTAATGAACATAGCTTTGGATTCATAGTTGCTGTTTACAGACCTGAAAGGGATTGGCCTGTCAGTTCTGGTGAAACATGGGCATATGATGAAAATAGAATAGATGATGTGCGTTTCTCCACATTTCTAGAAGAGCTATTTATATTTAATATTTAATTGTTCAGTGAAAAACTATCACATAATGCAAAATGTGAGAATCTTGCAGAGTATGTTGAAGTTGCTTAATTCTAAATTACCCATAGCTGCAATTTAAATGCAAGCAATCTTATTTTTCAGGCTTTACCACAATCAGATTATTGTGTTACTTTCTTTAATATGATGCTGAAAATAAAGTTGTAGACTTGTGCCTAAAGGCCATTTCAGCTGTCTCTTTAATACATTTACCTGAGCTCTAAATACACTTTGATACACTTACCTGTGGTTTCTACATAGGCAATCCAAGCGTGCAGCAGAAAAGTGGACCAGTTATTCTAGCAGAGGAAGTAAAGAATCCAGCTATGGAAAAACTGGAGCTTGTAAGAAGATGGAGCTTAAACACGTACAAGGTTTGTACTGGGTGTGTTGCAGTAGCCAAATGATTCAGGCAAGTTTCACATGCCAAGAAATTTGTCATTTTATCAGAACATGAAGGCTACAAGGCTGATATACCATTAAAAAAAATAATCTCCCTCTGTTACAGTAATTTATTGGGAAGAGACTTTTGGAGCAGTGGTATTTAATAAGGAACATACATTTGTTTTCTGGTTTATTTTTCTAAGATTATTTTTAAGCCTGTGTTAATTTCTTTGGATTCAAATGAGACATTGAGATATTTAAAACAAAAACAAAAACTGAGCCACCATAGATAAATGAGTTAAAGCAAGACATGAAGTCATTCAAAATATTCACCTGACAGTCCCTGAATTGCTGAAACTTGTATCATTGCTCATACTTTTAATATATTCACTATAACATAGCAAGTGCCATTGTTGCGTATGTGGTGGGGCAAAAAAGTATTTAGTCAGCCACCAATTGTGCAAGTTCTCCCACTTAAAAA